GTCACCAACTGCGTAGCGCCTGCGTGACCCATACTGCAACTGAGTCAGCGCACCTGATGAGATGACAAGCGGCCACCTGGAGCTTCAGCCAAAACCCCCGCCCCTATGCTGCATACAACAATGAAAAAAGCCTAAAGCCTATGACAAAGTACTGCGAATTCAGGACTAGCAAACCTGCCTGTGGACTGCCCTAGACCTGCTGCTGCCCCAGCGGATCTATGCAAGCTCCATACACACTGCCAACCCTGATGCAGCAACACAACAGTAGACCAAAAGGCCTAATATTATGCTGCAATGCTACAGGTGTGCCTCACCATCTCGGGCTGCCAGCAGCGTATGCGAACGAGTGGCTCGAGCCTGCAGCAAAATGCAAGCCAGCACACAGCTAGCTCAGAAGACTAAACTCGGACTTAGTGGATGCGAGCCACTAACCGCGTAGCGACCTTGTGGCTTGCCCTCCATAGAGCCTGCATGTCTGTACCCACGATGCCTTCAGCCACTTGGTTGATCACTGGAAAGCGGGGCTACCAAACATGCCCCGGGAACTACACTAGACCTGATGCTGGATCAACAGTTCTATACAAGCCCTGTGGACTCTGGAAACCCTGCTGCAACAGTACAACAGCAAGCTGAAGACGAGATGCAAATCACAACCATCTGTAGCCCCTAACTGCGTAGCAAACTTGGGGCTACCATTACTAACGCCTCCTGAAATAAGGAACTGGCCCACCAACAAGGAGATGCTCCCCTAGAAGTCTTCGCAATCTGCCCAAAGGACGAGGCGCTGAGATACTAGCTATAAATAACTAACCCTATATTATAGCTAATTGCAAATGCAAAACCTTAAGCCTACCCCCAAACTAAACCTAAACACCAAGCAATGTTATTGCAAAGTATGGAGCGCCACATCTTGCTTACCGGCAACTTGAACCTCCATGCTCAACATCAGTATCCTATCCTTTCCCCACCCCCATACCCCAACTAGTCCGACTAAAAAGAATCAGCTGAAAAAGCAACACTAAAATCCATATAAACTGCCCTCCAAGGTAAACTAAAATTCATAAATCCCATACCCACCAAGAACCAATCGATACAAACACACACACACACACACAAACCCACAACTGACTGTTCATGCTACAACGAATACAAAATTACACCGCTACACTCAGCCAACCTATCAATAAGAGACTAAGACTGCAACAACAGTAATACTTGAATTAACTAAACAACAAAGCCTAAAATGATAACGACCAAAACAGTCAAGCCTACAATTACCTAAACATACGCAACTAAACAGTAAACAATGACTAACAGTCAACTAACAACCTGAAGCATAAAACATACAACTTAAAAACTAAATCAATAATTTAAAACCTAAGACTCTGCACATAACTCCTAAAAATAACTCTTGCCTTGCTAACAGCTGCGATAACCACAAAATCTCAACCTAAACTGGACCAGCTCCACCTTGGGGAAGCTGGAGAGTTATAAATTGTTCGTTGGCAATTTTAAACCTCCAGCCCCCGAGGCACTGTAGCAACTCACCCCTCGCATCGTAGCAAACTCACTCCTTAAAGACCAAGTTATAAAAACAGTACTAAATTTTACTCAACATACACACCCAAACCGTTAACAAGATTCAAATCAACAACCAATCAAAACAGAAACAAAACATAAACTTAAAGTTAAAATTTAAACTAAATCGCTAAACTCATAACCATAAACGTAACTCTTGCCCTGCATATTGCTACGATAACTAAAAATAAACAACTATCTCGGACTAGCTCCCTCTTGGGGAAGCACGGAGAGCTCAGGTTGTTCGTTGGCAACCTTGAGCCTCTTTGCCCCTGAGGCTCCATAAACCCACCCCTCCCCCACCCCCCACCCACACCCACAATACATCTTAAAGAGTAAGCTGCAAAAGCAATGTCTCCATGATTAAATGTACCCTCTAGTCTAAGTGAACTCGGCATAAAAAAGCCAACATGTAAACATAGAGGGAACAGCGCTGTAAGCTGAGCTTAACAAATGTTAAGCTTAACTTACAGCGCTGTACCCCTCTCCCAAAATCTCACCAATACTAACGTCCCAGACTACCACACTCTATGGCCCATTATTGTATAAGGCTCTTGTACCCGACCTAAAGCTGTACATGTAAATCCCATTATTTTACGCAACAGAATAAATAAGCTGCCCTCTCACTTTTGAAGGCATAGCTAGATTTGAGTTGGCATATACGCTACTCCAAACAAAAAAAACTCCGTGAATTTATTTCAATGTCGTTTCAAAGTTAAATCAATGTCATGTCAAAGTGAAGTCAAAGTTAATAAATTGTAATATGCCATAACACAAAGTGAATATGTGCTAAAATGCTTAGTTAACATACTTAACTAGCCAAATTATGCTACTACGGTCGCTATCGAATCATTATTGAATAATCCTGTGCGGAACTACAGAAGTCAAAGCATTGCTATTCAATGTCTGGAAGAAAATCTTAAACCAAGCTTTTAATAAGCATTAAACAGTCAACGCATATAAAACGATCAATAAATAAAACAATAAACTTTTAATTTTAACTTTTATCTAACATAAGTTAACAAATTAAAAAAGGCAAATTATAGAGCATGGTGCGCAGACTTAACACGATTCATGCGGCCAACTAAACCTAACCTATAAATGGTCTGAACTAATAAGCCAATAAATGAACTGGAAACTAACAAACTGATAAACAATAAAACAACAGTAACTAACAAATAAACAAAGCCAATGAAACAATAAACTTAATAAATTAAAACTAATAGCCCTCAAAGACAAACTAAACAAAATAAACCTTAAAATGGCTTAACCTGAACAATAACTACAGGACCATACTGCCATGTAATCAGCCGCTGATGCTCTGCACGGAAAACAGATAAGTCATACCCGCTAATTAATCTACCTGAAAACCCAAACTTCTAAATTACATAACATAAAACTCTCTCCTTCCCTCATAAATTCTGCAATCTACACAAGCTATGCCACAAATTTCTAACAAAATGAGCATAATCAAATAACTTGCAATTAAAAAGCTGTATAACCATGTAAAAAAAAAAAAGGAAAAGAAAGGATTACCATACAGACAACTTCCCTCTAATATTATCATCTCACATTTATCCCTTTCTTCCCACTCCTTACACATACTGACGCACGTACGAAGCAAAACCTAAAACAAACACATAAACCAACATGAACTCACCTTCTGAGACTACTCTGTGCTCTCTATAACCAAATTTCACTCATAAGTCGAAATAGAGAGCGAACACAATCCTGGGTAATCGCTCACTAATTCCCCCTAGAGCGAACACATAAACAACACATAAACAACACATAAGCAACATACATCGCCTCCGAACATGTATGCGCGCACGCTCAAACCAAAAACTCTCTCCCCACACTGACTCACCATACTAAATCCATCCCTCGCACCCGCGGAACCAGTAGTTCACTCCGGAACCTATCAAAAGAAACCAGCACGAAGCAGCCATAAACAGGCAAAATGGAAAATAAACCAAAAAAGACAATCACCAAGAAGAAAACGTCAGGAAATCAATCAACAACAATTACGGCTACATCCACCCTGCTGCAGTTCTACGCGAAACACACACAGGAGATGAAAAAATTAGCAAAACCAGTGCAAAGTCCGGCATCAAGAAAACACGAACCTCATGATTCGGAATTAGAGGTGGACACCGACATTGACGTAGAAAACGACGAGGTCGGCCAAGCGATAAATGACCACCTCACAACTGGAACCATGCAGCTCCCTGATAAATTCTGTGAAAAAGCAGCCAATATAACAGAGACAAACCGTGAGTTACAAACTCAACAGGCATTACTGTTGGAAAAAACCCTCAGGAGCGTCATCTCTACTAACTCAACAGCACCACCGACACCAATCTTGGGAGCTGGCAACTCAGTAGAAGAGACAACATCCGATGCAGCCTCACGTGCCACAACATCTAAGCCACAGCCACGGACGCCCACTCCCAACCGCAACCTGTTCCCTGATGAGCTGAATGAAACTGCCACTCAACAAGAAGCCTCTGGCAAGTCCAACCAAACTACAGAACCGGAACCATTCCAATTACCTGGATTCCAGCTTCCACAACCGGAACAAGATGACAATGAGAGTATCATCTCCATTTCCTCATCCATCTCCTCATCCACTCAGAACACTGCTGCCCTTAACCCGGACATGCGCAAAATCCTTAAGGAACTTGGCGTAAGCGCCACCATATGCCAAAAAATCGCCGAAACAATGGCCGCCAACTATAGCGAAAATGAGGAGGATAATAATAACGCCAAAGGTGGCACCCACACTGATGAGAACACTGCCCCTGCTAGCGGAAAATCAGATCCCAAACCAAGAGCAAAGAAACAAATTCGCGGAGGAAGCAGCAGCAAGGGACATCGACCAGCCACCCCCTCCGCCTCCGCTTCCACTTCCACTCGTCCCACTCTGCCCACCTGCAACTGTAGCAGCACACGGAAAATCCTGATGGAAAACACTGAGAAACTAGCCTCCATGCTCGAAGTGGTGGCCACCAAACTCGAGAATATGGCCGCTGACACTAAAATTACAAATATTATAACAAAACCTATCCCTAATAAGAGCTCCATGCTCTCAGATGAAGATGAATGAACTACTACTAAGAAAACAAACTGTCATAACCAGCTGTCACTCCCATCTACACTTTAAGTTACTGAAAATTAAATAAAATAAACAATAAATTCCAAAACACCTCCAAATAACACACCACCTTAAATTTTTACACCATGAAACCCGCAAATACTGAAACATAAGAAAATCCAATAAACTAACGAAAGAAACTACACTGCACAAACATCACGCCACCCCCTAGGGAAATTAAACTCTAACAACTAAATCACAAAATAAAATAAAACAAAACTCTTTAATCGGATCCCAACCAACATAAAAATAAAAATAAATAATTACTAAATTACACGAAAAGCGATAACGAAGGTATTTTTCCCTCCTAACAACTCTGGCCACACTAAAAAAAGAAGAAGACAGAAGCGTGGGCAAATCTGCAAATTTAAACAAAATAAGAATAATTTTACAAATCTCCAGCAACAAAACGCATTCCAAGGCACCACAACGGTTCAGAATAATTCTATACACCAGTGAGCACCTGCCCTAAGTGCTACCAAAGCCAACAACCAAATAATACACAGAAGGCGGACGCCAGAAGCACCAAGCCCTACTGACTCAGGATAAATTCTTCCAATTAAACGGTAAAAACCATTCCCACCAGCTACTAGGGAGAGGCTTAGCATGAATCATAGTGAGGACCTGTAATTCTATAGCACCCGTCACTGACCCAGAAAAACATTTCAGGAATCTCCATACCACGCTTCTGCAAATGAAACATGCTGCCGCAGCTAAAGCCACTGAAGCTGAGCACCTTCCAGCATATCTGGCTGCATTAGACCCGCCTGGAATGAGCATAAGGGAAAGACATCACTATAGACCGGAGAACAACAGAGATCCTAGACTCAATAAGAAAACAGGAATAAATAACGCCATATGCTCCCAATCAACAACGCAAACTGAGGCACAACCAATAACACAACCAGTTGAAATGGATAATTACAAGGGAAAAGAAAATAAGAAGGTCAGAGATTGCACCACCCCTCAATTTGATCCCACCATAATTCCCAAAGTGGAAGATACCCCCACCAAGTCAAGAGGAACAGAACTAGAAAGACTGCTACTGACCTCTCCCACTCCTTTCAACAAGAGCGCGAATCTGTTAATCATGCAGTCACTACAAGCCACGTATAACTCTGGAGGCGGTAATGGAAACACCAGAAAGCAACTCTTCAATGACAGTGATGACGACAGCGAGAGCAACATACCTTTGCAGCAGCTGGTCTCTGGCAAGAAAATCAGAGGGCAAAACCTAAAGCGCCTCAAACCCTTGAAGTCGGCAAACAGGCCCTACACCAGAAGAATCACGGGAGCGATCAAAACAACTGTCTCCTACGCGGACAAACAGAGGCGCTCTAGATCTCGGGCACCCAGAACTTCGGAGGAGCTTGATCTGGCAAACCCTATAGTTTACGATGACAACAACAATAACAATGATAGCCTCTGCTCCCTCAGTCTCACGGCGGGCAACCTTCCATTGGCCCACGGCAGTGACATAACAACAAACGAAATGAGGAAGAATAAAGAGGAGGATATGCCCTGCTGCTCAAGCAGCCTAAACCAACATGCCATAAGCCCAACACTAACAAATGAAAATGCTATCACAATCCAGGCCCAGGAGACCCAAATGCTGCGCACTGCCGAGGAATCGGAACAGAAGAAGAACAAGGAGCCACCCACCGTTTCCTCACGACGCCAAAGGGCGACTGTACCAGCTAGGCCAACTCACCGAGGAGTTCATCTGAAAACGAAAGCAGCCCGTGCAGCTACTGGATCCCAACGCAAGAAGCTGAGCACACCCAAAGTGCACCATTGTGGATGCGGCATCGGTAACAATGATGAGGTCATGCTCGACAACATAAAAAAAGCCAACAAGGCCATCATCAAGATAATAGAATCTATAGGCAAAATACACAGACAATGCAGAGAAACTAATGACAATATTGAAATTAACTATCTAAGAAACCCCCAATAGAAATGGGAATCAGTAAAACCAATGAAAATGCTCTTTAATTTACTGACTTAAACATTTAGCATAAGAAACAAGCTTCATTAATCTTAACGAACTTATCAGTTCATTATATATTATGCCCAAAATACATATCTGTTTTTGAATAAACCTCTTTATGTTTAAAACTAAGGGAAATACAATAATAAAACCCTATACTTGCTGTGCAAGACACCTTATCTCACTATGTAAAAGAAACATACATACATACATAAATATAAAACAAAATCAATAAACGAACACGTCAGCCTTATTCAAATATTACTCAATCTACGCCTAACTAAGGGAGGGAAGCCTTCACGGCACTTGAAACAAATAATGCTAGAAGCAGCTAGTAATGAATAACAGAAACTACACCAATACATCTGGAAAGCATACTTAGCAAAACTAGAACATAGCCAGCAGCGCTAAGTGCAAACAGTAGCAGGAATAACAATATCCAGAAACAACCTGAACATTAATATGCCCTATGGCTGCCTAGAATAAGCTGCCTGGACAAGAACTAAAACCTGCTCCAGATGACAGAATTAAATAATACAAACAGCCAATTAACATACTTACTATAAAATGCAGAAATGACAGCACAAAATCGGAAACCAAACAAAGAAATACCCCGACAACCCACAAATCCCCTTCTCCTGCGTAATTCATTATAACCAAAATAGGAAATCAAGATATAAATCACAATTATTATTAAAAAAATTTATATTAACCAAATACCACATCTCCCTTGCAGAAGAATACTAAATGCCATATAACATACTACTTTGATATCCAACAGCATGACACATACGCCTCTAGAAAGCAGACTTTGCCAGGACACCAGCATCCAGATAGGAGCCAAATCCAAACAGACTGAGACTCTATGGCTCAAACAAATTACATGCACCTGCGCGAAGCCTGAAATTAAAAAGCAAATAATAATAAGTTCTCTCTAACCACCAGATTGAGGGGCAAAACGCCTACCAAACCTCAAGCCTCCATTGGAACGCTAACTTACGCCAATCCATCCTTAAAGGCCTTGCACCTCCTTATTGGACGCTGCTGCGCATCCCGACTGTTGCACTGGACTGGGATTGACATCTTTTAGGGCACGCTCACCATGTGACGAAACAACCCAGCGACTTGCGTCCCACTCCCGTGTGGTGGTTGTGTGATGCCCAGCGACGACCACAAACCTGGAAAAGGCAAAGATATGAGTTCCTGTTGCACTGCACCTGCATCCTACCGGGCACTTCGCAACATCCAGTCCCATATGAGCGGCAGCAGCGATATTTTGGCTGTCCAATGGTACCAACTGGAACTCCCTGAAACACCAAACAGAGGGCGAATTAACAAGACACATACTGCAAAACAATTGATTGCACAACTCAGCAGTTAAGTCTGTGCGTGACCTGCCCTTAAGGCCAGAACAAATGCCAAACATCCTGACATGCTCCCTGCAATACCACAACCTTTGATGACTGCCAAAATATCACTCAAATGTACACCTGGAGACAATCAGAACACAGCCAACATAGCTAAATATTAAGCTAAATAACACTCATCGAACATGCCTGTGCGATACCTGCCATATGGCCGAACCAAAGCCAAGATGCTAACACTGATGCTGAAAATTAAAAATAACAAACATCAGACCCCCACACCTATCCCATACTCACCCAGTCCCTCCCCCATATAACTTGCAAAGTACTCATACATTCCTTAACTCAACAGATTAACCATCACCACTGCAAATACGACCAGTTAATCAACAAGCCTCCACTGGATTGCTACCTATGCCAACCTGCTCTGAAAGGCTCCTTACCTCCCTACTGGACGCTGCCGTGCATTCCAACTGCTCCACTGGACTGGGATAGGCATCTTTTACATGCAGATAAAGGACGTACGCTGATGGCTGCATACCTTAAAATGGCAGAGACATGTAAAGCAGCCGCCTTGCACCATGCGACACACAGACCAACCCCCACCTAGCCCTAGCTGCCACGAGCTGCCAACTGCGTAGGCGATCGCGCAGCTCGCATGGCTACCGAGCAACAACAACTGATATGGGTCACCAACTGCGTAGCGCCTGCGTGACCCATACTGCAACTGAGTCAGCGCACCTGATGAGATGACAAGCGACCACCTGGAGCTTTAGCCAAAACCCCCACCCCTATGCTACATACAATAATGAATAAACCTAAAGCCTACGACAAAGTACTGCGAAATCAGGATTAGCAAACCTGCCTGTGGAATGCCCCAGACCTGCTGCTGCCCCAACGGATCTATGCAAGCTCCATACACACTGCCAACCCTGATGCAGCAACACAACAGTAGACCAAAAGGTCCAATATTATGCTGCAATGCTACAGGCGCGCCTCACCATCTCGGGCCGCCAGCAGCGTATGCGAATGAGTGGCTCGAGCCTGTAGCAAAATGCAAGCCAGCACATAGCCAATTCAGAAGAATAAATATGGACTAAAAGGATGCGAGCCGCTAACCGCGTAGCGACCTTGTGGCTTGCCCTCCATAGAGCCTGCATGTCTGTACCCACGATGCCTCAGCCACATGGTTGATCACTGGAAAGCAGGGCTACCAAACATGCCCCGGGAACTGCACTAGACCTGATGCTGGATCAACAGTTCTATACAAGCCCTGTGGACTCTGGAAACCCTGCTACAACAGTACAACAGCAAGCTGAAGACGAGATGCAAATCACAACCATCTGTAGCCCCTAACTGCGTAGCAAACTTGGGGCTACCATTACTAACGCCTCCTGAAATAAGGAACTGGCCCACCAACAAGGAGATGCTCCCCTAGAAGTCTTCGCAATCTGCCCAAAAGACGAGGCGCTGAGATACTAGCTATAAATAACTAACCCTATATTATAGCTAATTGCAAATGCAAAACCTTAAGCCTACCCCCAAACTAAACCTAAACACCAAGCAATGTTATTGCAAAGTATGGAGCGCCACATCTTGCTTACCGGCAACTTGAACCTCCATGCTCAACATCAGTATCCTATCCTTCCCCACCCCCCATACCCCAACTAGTCCGACTAAAAAGAATCAGCTGAAAAAGCAACACTAAAATCCATATAAACTGCCCTCCAAGGTAAACTAAAATTCATAAATCCCATACCCACCAAGAACCAATCGATACAAACACACACACACACACACAAACCCACAACTGACTGTTCATGCTACAACGAATACAAAATTACACCGCTACACTCAACCAACCTACCAATAAGAGACTAAGACTGCAACAACAGTAATACTTGAATTAACTAAACAACAATACCTAAAATGATAACGACCAAAACAGTCAAGACTATAGTTACCTAAACATACGCAACTAAACAGTAAACAATGACTAATAGTCAACTAACAACCTGAAGCATAAAACATACAACTTAAAAACTAAATCAATAATTAAAAAAAAAACCTAAGACTCTGCACATAACTCCTAAAAATAACTCTTGCCTTGCTAACAGCTGCGATAACCACAAAATCTCAACCTAAACTGGACCAGCTCCACCTTGGGGAAGCTGGAGAGTTATAAATTATTCGTTGGCAATTTTAAACCTCCAGCCCCCGAGGCACTGTAGCAACTCACCCCTCGCATCGTAGCAAACTCACTCCTTAAAGACCAAGTTATAAAAACAGTACTAAATTTTACTCAACATACACACCCATACCGTTAACAAGATTCAAATCAACAACCAATCAAAACAGAAACAAAACATAAACTTAAAGTTAAAATTTAAACTAAATCGCTAAACTCATAACCATAAACGTAACTCTTGCCCTGCATATTGCTACGATAACTAAAAATAAACAACTATCTCGGACTAGCTCCCTCTTGGGGAAGCACGGAGAGCTCAGGTTGTTCGTTGGCAACCTTGAGCCTCTTTGCCCCTGAGGCTCCATAAACCCACCCCCTCCCCCCACCCCCCACCCACACCCACAATACATCTTAAAGAGTAAGCTGCAAAAGCAATGTCTCCATGATTAAATGTACCCTCTAGTCTAAGTGAACTCGGCATAAAAAAGCCAACATGTAAACACAGAGGGAACAGCGCTGTAAGCTGAGCTTAACAAATGTTAAGCTTAACTTACAGCGCTGTACCCTCTCCCAAAATCTCACCAATACTAACGTCCCAGACTACCACACTCTATGGCCCATTATTGTATAAGGCTCTTGTACCCGACCTAAAGCTGTACATGTAAATCCCATTATTTTACGCAACAGAATAAATAAGCTGCCCTCTCACTTTTGAAGGCATAGCTAGATTTGAGTTGGCATATACGCTACTCCAAACAAAAATACGCCAGGACACCAGCACTCATATGAAGCTAAACTTGAGACGAGCCACGACTGCACGACCCAAACAAACCTGCATACACCTGCACGAAAACCTGAAATCAAAAAGCAAACACTCATATGTCCTCTTTAACTGCCAGATTGACGAACCGAACGCTAACTCACGCCAATCCATCCTTAAAGGCCTTGCACCTCCTTATTGGACGCTGCTGCGCATCCCGACTGTTGCACTGGACTGGGATTGACATCTTTTAGGGCACGCTCACCATGTGACGAAACAACCCAGCGACTTGCGTCCCACTCCCGTGTGGTGGTTGTGTGATGTCCAGCGACGACCACAAACCTGGAAAAGGCAAAGATATGAGTTCCTGTTGCACTGCACCTGCATCCTACCGGGCAACTTCGCAACATCCAGTCCCATATGAGCGGCAGCAGCGATATTTTGGCTGTCCAATGGTACCAACTGGAACTCCCTGAAACACCAAACAGAGGGCGAATTAACAAGACACATACTGCAAAACAATTGATTGCACAACTCAGCAGTTAAGTCTGTGCGTGACCTGCCCTTAAGGCCAGAACAAATGCCAAACATCCTGACATGCTCCCTGCAATACCACAACCTTTGATGACTGCCAAAATATCACTCAAATGTACACCTGGAGACAATCAGAACACAGCCAACATAGCTAAATATTAAGCTAAATAACACTCATCGAACATGCCTGTGCGATACCTGCCATATGGCCAGAACCAAAGCCAAGATGCTAACACTGATGCTGAAAATTAAAAATAACAAACATCAGACCCCCACACCTATCCCATACTCACCCAGTCCCTCCCCCATATAACTTGCAAAGTACTCATACATTCCTTAACTCAACAGATTAACCATCACCACTGCAAATACGACCAGTTAATCAACAAGCCTCCACTGGATTGCTACCTATGCCAACCTGCTCTGAAAGGCTCCTTACCTCCCTACTGGACGCTGCCGTGCATTCCAACTGCTCCACTGGACTGGGATAGGCATCTTTTACATGCAGATAAAGGACGTACGCTGATGGCTGCATACCTTAAAATGGCAGAGACATGTAAAGCAGCCGCCTTGCACCATGCGACACACAGACCAACCCCCACCTAGCCCTAGCTGCCACGAGCTGCCAACTGCGTAGGCGATCGCGCAGCTCGCATGGCTACCGAGCAACAACAACTGATATGGGTCACCAACTGCGTAGCGCCTGCGTGACCCATACTGCAACTGAGTCAGCGCACCTGATGAGATGACAAGCGACCACCTGGAGCTTTAGCCAAAACCCCCACCCCTATGCTACATACAATAATGAATAAACCTAAAGCCTACGACAAAGTACTGCGAAATCAGGATTAGCAAACCTGCCTGTGGAATGCCCCAGACCTGCTGCTGCCCCAGCGGATCTATGCAAGCTCCATACACACTGCCAACCCTGATGCAGCAACACAACAGTAGACCAAAAGGTCCAATATTATGCTGCAATGCTACAGGCGCGCGCAAAAATAAGAACCCTCACCATCTCGGGCCGCCAGCAGCGTATGCGAATGAGTGGCTCGAGCCTGTAGCAAAATGCAAGCCAGCACATAGCCAATTCAGAAGAATAAATACGGACTAAAAGGATGCGAGCCGCTAACCGCGTAGCGACCTTGTGGCTTGCCCTCCATAGAGCCTGCATGTCTGTACCCACGATGCCTTCAGCCACTTGGTTGATCACTGGAAAGCAGGGCTACCAAACATGCCCCGGGAACTGCACTAGACCTGATGCTGGATCAACAGTTCTATACAAGCCCTGTGGACTCTGGAAACCCTGCTGCAACAGTACAACAGCAAGCTGAAGACGAGATGCAAATCACAACCATCTGTAGCCCCTAACTGCGTAGCAAACTTGGGGCTACCATTACTAACGCCTCCTGAAATAAGGAACTGGCCCACCAACAAGGAGATGCTCCCCTAGAAGTCTTCGCAATCTGCCCAAAAGGACGAGGCGCTGAGATACTAGCTATAAATAACTAACCCTATATTATAGCTAATTGCAAATGCAAAACCTTAAGCCTACCCCCAAACTAAACCTAAACACCAAGCAATGTTATTGCAAAGTATGGAGCGCCACATCTTGCTTACCGGCAACTTGAACCTCCATGCTCAACATCAGTATCCTATCCTTCCCCACCCCCCATACCCCAACTAGTCCGACTAAAAAGAATCAGCTGAAAAAGCAACACTAAAATCCATATAAACTGCCCTCCAAGGTAAACTAAATTCATAAATCCCATACCCACCAAGAACCAATCGATACAAACACACACACACATACACAAACCCACAACTGACTGTTCATGCTACAACGAATACAAAATTACACCGCTACACTCAACCAACCTACCAATAAGAGACTAAGACTGCAACAACAGTAATACTTGAATTAACTAAACAACAATACCTAAAATGATAACGACCAAAACAGTCAAGACTATAGTTACCTAAACATACGCAACTAAACAGTAAACAATGACTAATAGTCAACTAACAACCTAAAGCATAAAACATACAACTTAAAAACTAAATCAATAATTTAAAAAAAAAAAACCTGAAGACTCTCCACACATAACTCCTAAAAATAACTCTTGCCTTGCTAACAGCTGCGATAACCACAAAATCTCAACCTAAACTGGACTAGCTCCACCTTGGGGAAGCTGGAGAGTTATAAATTGTTCGTTGGCAATTTTAAACCTCCAGCCCCCGAGGCACTGTAGCAACCTACCCCTCGCATCGTAGCAAACTCACTCCTTAAAGACCAAGTTATAAAAACAGTACTAAATTTTACTCAACATACACACCCAAACCGTTAACAAGATTCAAATCAACAATCAATCAAAACAGAAACAAAACATAAACTTAAATTTAAAATTTAAACTAAATCGCTAAACTCATAACCATAAACGTAACTCTTGCCCTGCATATTGCTACGATAACTAAAAATAAACAACTATCTCGGACTAGCTCCCTCTTGGGGAAGCACGGAGAGCTCAGGTTGTTCGTTGGCAACCTTGAGCCTCTTTGCCCCTGAGGCTCCATAAACCCACCCCCTCCCCCCACCCCCCACCCACACCCACAATACATCTTAAAGAGTAAGCTGCAAAAGCAATGTCTCCATGATTAAATGTACCCTCTAGTCTAAGTGAACTCGGCATAAAAAAGCCAACATGTAAACATAGAGGGAACAGCGCTGTAAGCTGAGCTTAACAAATGTTAAGCTTAACTTACAGCGCTGTACCCTCTCCCAAAATCTCACCAATACTAACGTCCCAGACTACCACACTCTATGGCCCATTATTGTATAAGGCTCTTGTACCCGACCTAAAGCTGTACATGTAAATCCCATTATTTTACGCAACAGAATAAATAAGCTGCCCTCTCACTTTTGAAGGCATAGCTAGATTTGAGTTGGCATATACGCTACTCCAAACAATAAAGACACACGCAATGCAAATTTTAAAAAGCTGCCAAACTGCAGGGAAATGCCCTCACTATAGAGGAGAAGTTTACAAGGAAGAGCTTAATAATTATAACATCAAAAAACAGATAAAACAAAGGAAGAAATTTGTAAAAAGTTCGCAAACCCAGTGACAGGACTCATCTCCGAAACAAAACAAAGACGGATCCCGAACTGCAACACCCCGCCCGAACTGATATGCATAACACACAGGGCAAGTCTAACAATAATAAGCATAATAGTCCTCATAACCAAACAAATAAACCAACATTCAGTCAGGTACTTAGGAACAAGAATCCATTTAACCAAAAAATGTACCCAAAAAGGTTAGGTCCCAACCCGGCTGAAAACCACCTAAACAACTTTAGGGAAAAACTCAGAATCGAACAACAAAGTAAGGCACCTATCCCCATCCCCACACAAAATGAAGCCTACACAAACCATCCCAGTCTGAGTAAGGCTCAAACTGAACAATCCCCTAAAATGGACATAATACTTGAGGCAGTACAAGTAACTGCCAACTCAATGGCGGAAATGGGAAAAAAAACGGACGCCCTCATCTCCTGTCTTTTAATGCTTCTAACTCCAGGAGTTAAGACCAGCAACATCGACAATGACACTAACAATGCCTAGACCCAATACCCCTAACCACACAGGCACCATTAGTAATCTAAAAATTGCTACCTGGAACGCCTGTGGAATTCGTAACAAACTACTAGAATTAGAGGCCTATATTAATCAAAGAAATATAGATATAATGCAAATCATAGAGACGCGACTAATAGCTAATGATACCAATAACAGTACTAATGAATTTAGTATCCCAGGGTATACTCTCTATAGCACTCCTCACCCCTCGGGGAATAGGAAAGGTGGAGTTGCCACCTACATCAGAAACACTATCAAGCACATAGCTTTACGGTCAATCTCAATCGACTGTATACAAATAGCTCCCATCGCTATTCACATGAACAATGAGATCATCGTAATCTCACCAATATACTGCCCCCCAAGCTATATTTGGAGCACCGCACACTTTGATAAACTTTTCAAATATATGCAAAGTCTAAATCGAGGCACAAAATATATGCTCATTGGAGACTGGAATGCAAAACATTCCTGGTGGGGATGTCCCAAAGCCTGCAAAAGGGGAAAACCCCTCCTTGAAGCAATTCACCAACACAAAAGCCTACAAGTTCTGGCTACTGGGGGTGCCACACACTACCCATTCGACAACAGGAAAAAGCCCTCAGCCATAGACTTTGCTGTGTATGCTGGCATACACTGCAACAAAATAAATATCACATCATCAGCTGAGCTGAGTTCGGATCACCTGCCAATCTTAGTAGATCTCTCATTCCAACGGCCCCATTGAAACAGTGGGAGCTCCTAAACGCCTCCTCCCAGGTTCAGCCAACATTAAGACCTTTTGCGATATCCTAAATCAAAATATAGCACTTAATATCAAACTCGACACACCAGCCGAAATCGATAAGGCAGTTGAACAACTCAACAATTGGATATATCAGGCAGCTAGGGAAGCAACGCCACAACAAAACCCATTCAAAGCTACTAAACTTAAAAATACGCAAATATACTTGGACGACAAGACGAAAAAACTACTCAGGGACAAAAAACTCCTCAAAAGATCACTAAACAAACACCCAAACCCAGTAACCAAAGACAAAGTCAAGACCATAACTAAACTGCTCAAAGCAAGCTTACAAGCATTGAAAACCAAAACAACGAATAAAATCTTCCAAAAAATAGACCCCCAGGACAGATACAGAATGCAGAAGCTATGGCGAATCACAAAAAACTACAAAAGACACTCTGAGCCGAACTGGCCACTTAAGATCACCCAAAACAACCAAATCTACTGGACTAGAAACACTGAAGAAAAAGTAAAAGCCCTTGCGGAGCACCTAGAGGAGAGATTCTCCCCCAAAATACTCAACACAGGAGCCTTCAGGAGATCAGTCACAGATGAGAAGGAGCAATTAATTAGGCACAAAAAACTCATAGAAACCCCCATGTGGATGCAAAGACAACTTAACCCAAAAGAAAATGATGTCTCCTTCATACCGTTCCTCCCAGTTACCCCTGGAGAAGTACTCACACAAATCAAATCCCTGCACAACAATAAATCCCCTGGAGAAGACCAGATCAGCAACA